GCGATCATGTCTACGCCGAACGTGAACGCATATGAATGTGAGCGGTTCGGGCGCGCCTGACTCTGAACACTCGCGACGCTGAGCAAGGCCGCCGCAAGGATTTTCCCCGGGGGCCCCGACGGCAACGCCCGCGCGCCGCAATGCCCATGTCGACACGCCCCCCGCGAGGATCGCGCCCGTGTCCCTCCCCTCCTCCCCTCGCTCTTTGCCCGCGCGCTCCAAAGTCCGAGGGCGCGGGGCCCGCGGCACCTGCCGCTCCTTCTGGTCGGTGGCCTTCTGCGCCGCCGACCTGCGCGCGACTGGCCGACAGCGTCTGCGCAGGGCGAGCGCCCCAACGAACACCAGAAAACCTTTTTTCCAACGTTTGCGATGGATTCGCCCTTCTACGCGCCCGCCAAAACCCTCCGCGAACTTCCGCCCACTCCCGCGCATTCTTCTCCGCCGGCCAATGCGCGGCCGCCCGACTAAGGCGCGCGCAGCGCGGACGTTCCAACGAGCGGTGGGCCCTCCGGAAACGACGTGAAACGACCAAAGCGACGACAACAATCGAACGGCCGAAAAAATCTGCCTTCTCATTGCAAGTGAGCCCTCAGGCACCGTCCAGAAGTCTCTGGAAGCGCCAGAAGCACGAGACCCAAATTTACAAATTCGACCGCATTTCCCCCTCCCCAAGTCAGAACGCCAAACTATAATTCGACTTATCTTGACTGCGCGCCCCCCGGTATCCTCCCTCCTCCATCCTTGCCAGGGCCTACGGGGACCCCCTTGCAAGTAAGCAAGGAGGTGGTCTATCAGCAAGGGGATGGCGCACGGGCTAGCAAAAATGGAAAAGTACAAGGGGAACAGGGTTGGGCGGATAAGGACAAGATAATGTAGAGGGACGAGGACGAGAACGAGGAGGAAAAGAGAGGACGACGACGACGACGACGACAGCGGAGGCGGCGGCGACGACGACGACAACGACGACGCGAACTGCACTGTAACGTTAGCAACACAGAGAACATCGATGTGCATGGCTTGTCGAAACCGCTCCAGTCCAAACCCGCGCCCCTGAGGACGCCTCATCGCTTACTAATCCTAGACACCGGGTGGAGCCAGGCCTCGCGCCGCGGTGGCTCACATTACTTGCAACGGATGACTTCAGCGCAACATAGACTCAATTGCCATATACATAATTATTCACTACTCGGGCAAACACGACTGGGAGGAGAAGGAAGAGGAGGACGGGGGAAGATGCAAACGCAGCGCTGGAGAGGAGTTCGAGGGAGAGAAAGAAAACCACGCGCCCGCCCTCCCGCTTGCATCCTCACCCTGGAGCGGAAACGCGGCCTATTCGTCCCCTCTGATCGTATTGTTTGCCCTCCTGGTCATCATCATCATCCTCCTTATCATCTTACTCAACCTCCCTCTTCCTGATCCGAATTGCCTGGAGATCTCCGGGAGCCTCCGTCCACAGAAGCCATATGTAACGTTCCCTCTGGGGTGCGATCTGCGCGAAGGGCGCCCCGAAATCGGCACAGCGCCGCCATGTGAACCCTGCCACTGGGGCATTCGGTGGAGCTCCCTATCGGGCCTCGAAGCGTGCGAAAGGGGTGTGCTGAACTAGGGCGGCACCGACATGCGGACCCTGCCGCTGCAGCCTTCGGTGGCGCCGCCTCCGGCCACGAAACGTGCGAGGAGTGCGCCAAAATGTTGGGCGGAACTGCAGCCATTGGGGCCTTCGGTGGAGCTCCCTGTGGGGCCACGAAGCGTGTGGGATGCGTGCCGACATGGGGGTGGAACCGCATGCGGACGCAGCCACTGGGGCCTTCGGTGGAGCTCCCCATGGGGCCACGAGGCGTATGGGATGTGTGCCGACATGGGGGTGAAACCGCATGCGAGCATAGCCACGGGGGCCTTCGGTGGAGCTCCCTGTGGGGCCACGAATCGTGTGAGGGGTGTGCCGACATGCGGGTGGAACCGCATGCGAACGCAGCCACTGGGGCCTTCGGTGGAGCTCCCTATGGGGCCACGAAGCGTGTGAGGGGTGTGCCGACATGGGGGTTGAAACATACGAACGCAGCCACTGGGGCCTTTGGTAGAGCTCCCCAAGGGGCCACGAAGCGTGTGAGGGGTGTGCCGACAAGGGGGTGGAACCGCACGCGGGCGCTGCCACTGGGGCCTTCGGCGGAGCTCCCTACGGGGCCACGAAGCGTGTGAGGGTTGTGCCAAAATTGGTATCGATGATGGTGACGATAACGGCGATGATGGCGACAATGGTGATGATGACGATGATGCCGATGATGAAGACGACGACGATGATGATAATGACGATAACGATGACCACGATGATGATGACAATGATGACGATGCTGATGATGATGATGATGTGGTCGATTCGGGGCCATCTTGTTTCATCTTTGTGCGAACGGCGGAAGGGGGCCACGAGCGCTACGCCAGCTGTGAAGCACAGACTCGGAGAAACATTAGCTCAAGTGGGTGGGAGGGCCCAGGGTAGAACTTGAGCGAGGGAATACGGCCGCGGAGTTACCACAAATTCCGACAAGTCGCTGTATGTGGTCGATTCGGGGCCATCTTGTTTCATCTTTGTGCGAACGGCGGAGGGCGGCCACGAGCGCTACGCCAGCTGTGAAGCACAGACTCGGTACTACACGCTAGTCTGACCAGGTGGCAACAGCCGAATTACTCATTGACCAGAAATTTTCTTATATCTCGCGGCGCGGGACAAATGACGAGCTTCGGCCACTATCATTTCAGTGCCAGCAATGGCCACTTCTGAGGGGATACCCTTAGCAGAGGCCCGAGCTACGGCGTCAAGAGCTGGACGCCCCAGGCCTCCCAGGTGACGTCTCTGAGTGCGATCGCAAAGGCCTTGGGCGCGGAGGCAACGACGAGCGAGGCGCTCAAGGTCCCGCACGCCCCAACTGACAAGGTGGATTCGCTGTCTCACGCGACCCGCATACATGCAAGAGTCGAGGGAGCAGGAAGAGGAGGACGAGGCAAGGAGAGGGGACAAGCGGGGATGCCTCCAGATGAGGCTCGACTCAGGGTGCATAAAAATGATCGGGACTCGGCGGAAGATACCTTCAGCAATCAATTTGAAGGTGGAACCTGCCAGCGCGTTGGCAACTCGCACGGCGCGACAGGCGGCCTCTGAGGCTCTATGTACGTGCAACAGAGAATGAACCTTGCGGACGCGCGCGGCCCCTGGCGCCCAGGCGCCCCAGGGCAAGGATGCCCAGACACCGAGCACAGCTGAGCCGCGGACCCAGCCAGTCAGAGCCTTCAAGACCTGAGGGTCAGCGAGGTCGTCTAGGCGGTGACGAGCAACGTTCACCGCTACGGTGCCGAGCCCGCGGGCCTCACACACTCGCCGTACACGGTCGGGGACACAGGTGCAGAGCATGATGAGGTATGGCATTACAGTGGCATGCGCCCGCGCTCGTCGCCACAAGCGCCTCACTCGAAGAGCCGCATGACGGTCCTCACGGGAGCCGTCTGCACCGGCGGTGACGCCGACAGCGGCCTCAGGGGCGGCAGCGGCAGCGAGAGGAAGCCCGTCCTCGCCATCACGTCCATGCCGAGGAAGACCAGGGCCTCCGCGAAGGCGAGCCGCAGCTGGTGTGGCGTGAAGGCGCAGAGGCACTCCTCCTTGCGCCCTTGCCGCAACGCCTCGAGGAGAGGCCAGAGAGGCGGATCGTCGACGATGACGCGCTCGACGGTCTCCTCCGTCTTGCCACGCCTCCCGCTCGCCGCGTCGATCACCAGCAACGCCAAATGCTGGTAGCCGTCCGTGGGGCCCGACCTAGGAGCGATCAGGGTGGCCGCCGTGAGTCGGTAGGCCTCGCTGGGGCGCAGGTATGCGTCGAATGCAATCCTCACGAGGGCCGCCTGCGACAGAAGGCCCCGAGACACCCGCGCGCCCACGATGACGAACCTCGCGACCCTCGGCAGCGGGAGGAGCGTCTGCGGCGGCACACGCTTCGCCCAGCCCTGGCGGGCCCGCAAGGCCCGTGGCAGCGGCCGGCTCCCCATCAGCATCGACGGCAACTGGTGCTTCAGAGCGGCCATCGTGACGCGGCCCGTCGCACTGTCGTACCCGCCGAGGAACAGGTGGACGAAGGACACCACGGGGATCGCGACGAGCTCGACGCTGTTCGTGGAGTCCCTGGCGGTCCAGAGGCACCAGTTCAGAAGCCTGAGGGCGGAGGCGTGGTAGTACCTGCCCGTCGGCTCCGAGACCGCGCAGGCCTCCAGCACCGACCGCCCGCCCCGCAGGAGAGTCAGCGGACCAGGCTGCACCCGCTGGCCCCGCGCCGCCTTGATCAGCTCCGTGGGCGATCCGCAGGCGGCGCGAGACGAGGTGCGACCCGACGTCCTCGAAGCTAGGGCCGACGAAGAAGCCCTCCCTCGACGGCTTGTCCGCGACGTTCCTCCCTGACGGCACCCACCGCACGAGCAGGCGCAGGCCGCGGGCGAGGGCCGCGCCAGCGATGCGCCGCAGGGCGCGGAGAAGATGACGGCTCCCAGACCGCCCCTGGCCGACCGAAAGGGCTAGAGCCGAATTGTCCACAATGCAGACGACGCGATGATGATGAGCACTCAGGGCCCTCGAAGCGTGATGGACGCTGAACCCCAGGGCCTCCGCCTCGTACTGAAGGATATCGCAGCCCCGTCGGGTGTGACGGCTAGAGCGAATGGTCTTCCAACCCTCGGCCCCGTAGATGGACTCAGGAACCTCGTAGAACCCACTGAGCCCAGCCGACGAAGCAGTACGAGCAGTAGACGATGTGTCGGCACGGCAACCGTCGGCAGCATCGTCTCGACCGTCGACGTCTAGGGCGCGTGATCTGGCAAGCACAGCATCCCCACGACGATACCTCCAACGTTCGGCGACTCGGCCGGCCTCGGACGACAGCGTAGGGGAGACCTCCTTGACACAGACACCCTTGCCGAACGGCGACGCATCAGACGCGTGCGCCCGTGGATGCCAGCGAGACCTTGTAGAGGCACTCCAGAGCGGGATGAGGGCCACGGCAGCCGACAACTCCCTGACGACGGAGGGCCACAAGGGTCTAGGATGGGGTCCCACAGCCCCCATGAACCGATCGACCGCGTTAAAGATGCTCAGAACGTCGCGCCTCAGGATCATCCCCCAGGTACAGTGGCCTACGAGCACGCTGAGGGCCCCAGCAGAGGCCCGCCCGCGCTTCAACAGTCCGAGAACGGCTTGCCGAGTGCAAGCGAGGCGGTCAGGACGAACGCGAATGATCCCAGAGGTTCCGTCGATCTCCAAGCCCGTGAAGACCCCCTTACAGACCGCAGGGGAGAACTCCAAGACAGGCAACCCGCGGGCAGTGAGAAGGTCAGCAACGGCACGAGCAAGGGACGTGGCTGTCTCCGCGCACTTGGATACGACACAGAAGTTGTCAACATAACCAGCACACACCGCGTCCTTCTCCGCCACCAAGGGACGAGGACATCCCCCATCCAGAATCATATCGTCACTGCCAAACCCGACATCCGACAGGGCTCTCGTCAGCGCACTCTGGCACAAGTGTAGAGCCCAACTCCACCCCATGGGAACGACCGTGACAAGACGCTGGAGATAATCGTCGACGCCGAGACGAACCCCGTTGACCGACTTGAGGCCGAGGAATCTGTTCCTTATCGGTGGCAAAGAGAAGAGAGACTCCATGCCAGCGGGCAGTCGCAAACGATAGAATGCACACTGGATGTCGCCCTGCGCGAACTGAAAACCGTCGTCGCAGTCAAGGCTGGCCCACGCGCTGGGCGTGGGCAGGCGAGTGGCTGGTGGGCACGAGAAGCTGCAGTTGGCCAGCCTGGTGTCGAACACCAGCCTGAGCTTGCCGTTAGTCTTCAGCACAAAGAAAAGACCAGTAGAGAAGGGTGCCTGCTCGCTGGAGACCCGCCAGGTGATCATGTCGTGGGCCTCCAGCTGCTTCAAAAACTCAGCGTAGGACTTCGGCTTAAAGCGCAGCTCGGGATCCACATAGGGGCGACTAACCCCCAACGATTCACGGAGCTCCGCCGCCACCGACTCGGGATTCAGCATACTCTGCCTCCAACCCTGCAGCACGATGGAGTCGGCCTCGGAGACGACGCCGCAGGTGGAGACTGCCTTCGTCGACTCGGGCCAGGCCACAAGTGGCATGCTGAAGGGGCGCACACGACCGCTGTCGCCAGCGTAGCCAGGTGCCTGCGCGAGCATCTCTACGAGGGATGCTTCGCAATCGCGGCCTCTCTCCGAGTAGGCGGCGGGCAGCTCGAAGTCGCGGTACAAGCCCGCGATGTAGTCCACTGAGGCTGCCTGGGCCGCAGGCGGTGCCCCCCCGTCGTCAGGCATGGAGGGCTCGTCCTTGCCGCAGTGGAGCCAGTTGAGAGCAGTCAACCCCTCGTTGCACCACTCTCTCCAGCTCGCGCCTTTGGCGGCTCGTAGACGAGCACCCCGACCAAGCGGAAGATGGCGACGCCCATCCACTGGAAGAAGAGGGAGCGGAAAAACGTCACGCTGGCGACGGTCACCTCGCCTGGGTGACTCCAGGCCAGGTGGGGCCACGAAGGGCTCGGGGCAAAGCTGGCCAGGCTCACGAACCGGTAACACGTCGCAAGGCCCCTCCTGGCCAGCGTCCTTCAGGAACGTCATGGATGCCGCAAGGCCCGCTCCTCGCGAGCCTTGCGACGTTCTTTTGCAACGGCGGCCTCACTCTTCATCTGGCCGGCGATCCAGTCCATCAAGGCTGGGCAAATGCACAAATTGCCCATCGTCTCTCCCGTGCCGAGGAAGTGGCCAATCTCCGAGGAGGCCTCGGCGGCCGCGGACGCGGCGCCGTCCTTGGCCTGGCCCTTGGCCTTGGGCGCAGGCTGAGTCCTGCGCGCGCGCTCCTCGAAGAAGCGCTCCTCCACCAACTGCAGCTGCCGCGAAAGGAACTCGTAGGAGGCCAGCTCGCAGATGATCGGCTGGTCGTGGCAGAGCGAGGTCTCGATGACGCGGCGCAGCGTCTCGTGGAGCTTGGCGGTGTCGTCCGTCTCCAGGGCCTGTATCATGGCCATCCAGCGGTTGTGCCACGCCATCGCCCCGCCAACCATGCGCAGCATGAAGTGGGGCACCCGCGTCGTGGTCCTAGGGCCCCTCACGGGCCAGTCGGCGCGGGCGGCCTCGGTCTGGCGCTTCGCGGCGCCACTGAAGGGCATGTCCCGCAGCCCACGAGCGTCGAGCACGGTGGCCATCGCGCGGGGATCAGGTCCCGCGACGCCTGGGGCGGCGGGGGCCGCGGCGGCGCCGCCGACGCCCAAAGGGTCCGCGGCAGCAGGCAGGGCGGCCCCCCCCGCGCCGAGCGCCGCCGCCAGCGCGCCCACCCCGGCCTCGGGCGCCGCGGCCACGGCGGCGGGCGGCCCAGGGGCGCCCGCGGGGGGCACGGCCGCGCCCGCCAAGGCCAGGGCGCCAGGCGCTGCGGCAGCGGGCGCCGCTCCGAGCGGGTCGGGCAAGCCCAGCGCCCCCGCCGCCACGCCCAACACGTTGTCGGCGCTGAGCTCGAAGTTGAAGGGCGACGGCGGCAGAGGTCCGTGGCCTTGAGCGACGCCGCGGCGCACAGCAGCCCAGACGACGGCTGCGGACGGCAGCCGCCTGAACTTGAAGAGCCTATGGGCGGCGACTCCGACGATTGCGTCGCCCTGGCCCGCCGAGTCATGCACTGATCTCAAGTCGTCGCCAGCCAGGTCGCTCTCCGCGTAGTCGTCATCGTCGGGGGTGAGGATGTACCCTGGCAGCAACGTGAGCCTCTCGTGGTAGATGGCGGGCCCCCCCGACGTTGTACCGTACGTAGTGGAACTGGCCAGAGGTGCGAGCAGCCATTGCTCCTAGCGGCGGAACTTCCTCGCCTGGGCAGCAGCCGCCGTCGCAAGGTCGAGCGTGTCCACCGTCTCGGGCAGAGGTGCTGGAGCGGGTGCGGGCTGAACCACGGGGGCCGTCCGAGAGCTCTTGATGAAGAAGCCGCCTACGACGATGCCGTATGCGAAGGAGCTCACCACAAGCACGACCACGAACTCAGTTGACCAGCCTGTGGGCTGCACGGATGCCAGCGAGCCCTCGCCTGTCGGGCAGCGGCACTCCAGCGCAGGGCAGTGCAGCGCTGGGGAGCAGACGCAATATGGGCAGGGCGTCGAGCTGCCGCGAACTATGATGGCAGTGGTGAGGGCACTGGTGAGGTCGGCGCAGACCCGCTCAAAGAATGCTTGCATTCCTTTAGAACTTGAGCGAGGGAATACGGCCGCGGAGTTACCACAAATGCCGACAAGTCGCTGTGTGATGCTGATGCTGATGCTGATGCTGATGCTGATGCTGATGGTGATGGTGATGATGCCGCTGATGATGATGATGATGACAGGAGGAAAGGGGCAGCGGGAGGAGTGAACGCGGGGCGCTGTCTCTTCAAAACGAGAACCCAACACCACAGGATGGTTGGGAATTGCTCCTTCCGCATTAGCCAGGTCCTGCGCCGCCTGCGTATTTGCCAGCATAGCACGTGCTAAGACTTCGGCAACTTGGCGCTCCTTCTCCTCGGCCTGGTCGAGCTGACTGCGCGGGCGCTGCACTGCCCTGGCCGCCTGCTCGTGCTTGACCTCCGCATCCCGCCAGGCCGCGCCCGTGCGCCGAACCTCGTCGGCAGGAGACGCAGTGGGCATCGGCTCGGGCACGGCGATCTCAGTCAGCGGCGCCTCCAGCACGGCCCTCATGTGTGGGTCGGTGGTCTGCGCGATGGCCGCCTCCATGGATGAAACTAAGTTATGAGGCCCAGCCGGCGGTAGTTTCACGGTAGACTTGGGACTCAATGACGTGTCCCGAACTGTTTCTTACTGTGTCTTACTCGATGAATCGACTAGGGCTAACTGGGTCTTACTGTCTACGTGAAGCAGACATCGAACGAGTCCTCCTGGGGACGGAGAGGCGCACCTGGCGACTACATGATCCCCATGTCCGATTTAATCGCAAGGGAACATCCTTGTGTTCGAAAAAGCCACAACCATTACATGTCTAGAAAAGACGTGGCATCCTCGGCTTTCGCCGCCGCAAAGAACAACTCTAAAGGGACAATTGTCGCTGCGGCGCCCCCAAGCGCTCCGTGGAAACACCGAGGTACGGGTCCCCTGGGATCCTCTAAAATGGGGTCTCGGGCGCAGATGGCTTGAGAGGAGGAGAAGGAGGAGGACGACGACCGGGAGGAGGATGATGAGGAGGAGGAGGACGATGAGGAGGAGGAGGAGGAGGAGGAGGAGCAGGAGGAGGAGGAGGGGAGAGGGGAAAAGAGAAGAGGAGGATGAGGACGAGGAGGAGGAGGAGGAGGACGACGACGAGCAGGAGGAGGGGGAACGACCAGACGGAGGAGGAGGAGGGGGAGGAGAAGGATGAGGAGGAGGAGGAGGAGGAGAGGAAGAGAAGAGGAGGAGGAGGAGGACGACGACGAGCAGGAGGAGGAGGAGGAGGAGGAGGAGGAGGCAGAGGAGGAGGAGGAGGATGAGGACGACCAGGAAGGAGGAGGAGGAGAAGAAAAGAGGAGGAGAAGAGACGAGGAGGAGGAGGAAGAAGCGGGCGCCCGCAGGCCCCCCCCCCGTGACTTCCGTGGCCGCCCCGTCGCCAGCCAGCGCCGCCAGGGGGCGCCCGAGGGCAAAGGGCCAGAGCGCCCGCGCGGAGCGCGGTGCCCCCCCAGCGGAGGAGAGGAGCGCTCTCCTCGAGGAGCTGGCCGATCCTGGAGTTGAACTTGTCCTCGATCTCCTCCACCCTCCTGGCGCGGGAGGGGGGCGGCGTCTCCCCCTCCCCCATCGCGCTTCTCCCCTCCTCCTCCTCCTCCTCCACTTCCTCCTTCTCCTCCTTCTCCTCCTGTTCCCCTTCCCTGCCCTTATCCCTCTTTCTCAGCCCTCCCCCTCCACTGTACTCATGCTCCCTTCCCCCCCGCTTGCTGATGCTGATGCTCTTTGTCGTGTTCCTATTTCTCCTCCTTCCCATCCTATTCCTACTCCACCTCCTCCTGGTGATCATGGCGCTGGGAGGCCACCGAAGTTACGCCTCAACCTTAACACGTAGCGCTCGTCTGCTTAGCAACCCGACGGAGAATATACACTCGGGAGTCGACACAGAAATATGGATCAAGGAGGGAAGAAGATGGAGGAGAAGGAAACAGGAGGACGATAACAGGAGGAGGCGGAGGAGGAGAAACAGGATGAGGCAGGAAGAAGACAGGGGTGCGGAGCACTACCCAGTAGAGGAGGCTCACGACGTGGAGGAACCAGCAGTCTGTAAGACTTCTACGTGGGGCAAATCGTCTTCTCCAGATGGCTCGGGAACCTGCACGCCTGGGGTAATGCACAACATGTGTACAGCCGCCTGCTGCAACATCCGCTCGTTCAGGTCAGAAGGAGCCTCTGGTCACCTTCCTCCCCTCGTTCACGACCCCCTCGTCCTCATCTTCCTGCTCCTCCTCCTCCAACCCCTTCCCCTTCCCTCCCCGCCCCCTTCTCCCCTGCCTCTCCCACTCCCCTCCCCGCCCCCGATCCCCGTTCCCTTCCCCCCATGACCCCGTCCCCCCCCCTCAACGCTCTGCTCTCCTCGTCGTTGCCCGCGTCCTCCTCCACCTCCCGACCCTGGCGCCCATTTGTTTGCAATTGTTTGTGAGACAACGCCCGTTACCGGCCCCGCCCTCACCCCCACCTGCCTTCCACCCCCGGTCACGTCACGGTTCGCGCCCGCGCCGTCAAGGGGTTAGCCATCCCTCCGCACTCCTAGACGGCGCCGGCGCGCATCGGGGCCTGACCGCCCCCCTCCCCCTCCACCCCCGGTCACGTCCGGTATTATTGAGCAGAGACCGACCATCCCGGCATTCCTACAGGCCTAACACGAAATTCTCTTAGAACCCAAAAATGTTCTTAGAACAAAAGCCATGTTCTTAGAACATAAACCCAATGAGTTAAAATGGCAATATCAAGGACCCCCACATAACCAGAACACGGTGAATGCGCACCAGCGCTGCGAACACTACTAGTAGTACTACTAGGATTAAGACTACTACTACTACTACTACTACTACTACTACTACTACTACACCTACAACAACTACTACTACTACTACTACTGGGACTACTACTACTACTACTACGACGGCTGCTACTACTTCTAAGACTACTACTACTACTGCTACTAGGACTACTACTGGGACTACTACTACTACTTCTACTTTTACTACTACTACTACTACTACTACTACTACTCCTTCTACTTCTACCACTACTACTACTACTGCTACTACTACTACTACTACTTCTACGGCTACTACTACTGCTACTAGACTACTACCAGGTTTACTACTACTACTACTACTACTACTACGACTACTACTACGACGACGACTACTACTACTACTACTTCTACTACTACTGTCTTCTTCTTCTACTACTACTACTACGACTACGACTACTACTACTACTACTACTACCACTGCTGCTACTACTACTACTACTACGAGTACGATTACGACTACGACTACTACTACTACTACTACTACTACCAGTACTACTACTACTACTACTACTACTATTACTACGGCTACTACTACTACTACTACTACTACTACTACTACTACGGGTACTACGGCTACAAATACTACTACGAATACTACTACGAATACTACTACTACTGGTACTACTACTACTACTACTACTACTTCTACTTCTACTACTACGTCTTCTTCATCTTCTCCTACTACTACTACTACTACTACGAGTACGGCTACTACTACTACTTACTACGACTACTACTACTACTACTACTACTACTACTACTACTACTACTACTACTACTACTACTACTACTACTAATACTACTACTACTACTACTACTACTACTACTACTACGACTACTACTAAACGTACCACTACTACTACTACTAGACGTACCACTACTACTAGACGTAAGACCCGGGTACGGGGGACTCGGAAATCCCCGACGAGGTCGTCAAAAAAATGACGAGGCCGAGCCTGCATTTTGACGAGGCCTCCCGCTGCAGACATCCCACGAAACTCCTCCTCGTCAAAATCCGAGTCGCGGTCGTCAAAAAACGATGGCGAACCCGAGTCCCGGCAAACCCGGGTCTTACGCTCCCCCGATACTACTACTACTACTACTACTACTACTACTACTACTACTACTACTACGACGACGCCGGCGAAGACGACGACGACGACTACTGCTGCTGCCACTGCTGCTGCTACTACTACTGCTTCTACTGCGACCCTGGGACGGATAGAGACCGCGGTGAGGGAAGACCCCTTGCGCACCTCTTGTGGCGTAAAGAAGGAGCATTGCCTGCCCCGCCCCGCGACCATGGGACGGATAGAGACCGCGGTGAGGGTTCCGCCCTGCGCATCCCCTGTGGTGTGGAGAGAGTGCCCCGTCTGGTGTGGAGAGAGTGCCACGCCTGCCACGCCCCGCGGCCCTGGGACAGATAGAGACCGCGGTGAAGGACCACGCCCTGCGCACCCCCTGTGGTGTGTAGAAAGTGCCACGCCTGCCAGGCCCCGCGACCCTGGGACGCATAGAGACCGCGGTGAGGGTCCACCCCCTGCGCACCCCCGGTGGGGTGGAGAGAGTGCCACGCCTGCCACGCCCCGCGACCCTGGGACGGATAGAGACAGCGGTGAGGGACCTCGCCCTGCGCACCCCCTGTGGTGTAGAGAGAGTGACACGCCTGCCACGCCCCGCGACCCTGGGACAGATAGAGACGCGGTGAGGGTCCACCCCCTGCGCAACCCCTTTGGTGTCGAGGAAGTGCCACGCCTGTTATGCCTTACGAATCTCGCGCGCGCGTGTGCTGCGTGATGTGCGTGTCATGTGTGTGATGCGTGTGCGGCTGCATCTGGACGTGTGTCTCATGTGGATGCCCAGTATGTGTCATGTGTATAATGCGTGCGCGGCTGTATCGGGGCTTGTGTCTCACTTGGGTGCCCAGCATGTGGCGCATGCGTCGTTGGAGCATGATGCAGTGAACACGCCAGGCGTGCACTGCCGTTGTTAGCGTGTGCGTGTGTGTATGTGTGTATGTGTGTGCGTGTCTGCGACTGCGTGCGTGCGTGCGGCTGCATGTAAACGCGTGTCTCCTGTACGCGTTGTGCATGCGTTGCGCGCGGGTGAGGGGAGGAAGTATGAGGAGAGGAAAACCATAACCCCACCTAGCATGTGTTGAACAAGACGGCCTCAACAAGATGTTCCAATGACATGTCGTGCAGACCACGAAAGGCTCTGAGAACATTCGCCGGTGGACCCAAAGGCATGCCAAGACGCGTCGCCACTGCTTGACCCCCCCCCATCCACCCCCGGTCACGCCCGTTATCACCGCCGGCGAACCGGCCCGAAGCGCACCGACGTCGGAGACCGCCGCGCCTGGCTCTGGCCGGCCCTGGCCGAGGCCGGAGCAGCGAGCCCGATCGGATGGCATCGGGAGTCGCCGCGGATCGCATCCTACCGGCTCGCGGGTGGCCACGGAGGTCGGGGGCGGCCAAGAGGGGGGCGTCCAAGAGGGGGGGGGGGGCGGGGGGGGGGGGGGGGGGGGGGGGGCAAATCTCGGCCGGCGGCATGTGCGCGGCCCAGGGGGGGGGGGCCAGGGACGTACTCAAAGTAGAGGAGGCGCCATGAGATCTGGGGAGGCATCATGGCCCCCGCCACGATGTCTGTCTATGTCTACACCCCCCCCCCAGTCGTCATCACCCCCCTCTTGGCCGACCCCCAGGGGGGCGAGCCGATCTCGTCGGCCGTCCAGCGGATCGGGCACGAGGATGCCCGGCGGCCGCGCCCTGGACCGGGCCTGTCCGGCGGGCACGCGCCGCCCCCGAGGGCCTCTGGGCCCTGCTCTCCCCAGCCCTCCGAGGCGCCCACGAGGAGGTGGCGCGAAGAGGAGGCCCCAGACAGGATCGCGTCGCGAAAAGATCACGGCGGAAGGCCTCTGGCCATTTTCGGCCTCCTGGGGCCCTCGCCGCGCCCCGGGACCTGCACAAAACGACGCAGGGTGAACTGTCACGACATGGGCTCGAGGTGTATCTGCCCCCGTTGCTCGTGGAGAACCCCATCAACCCTCTCCCCGCGTAGAGACACCCCCCTAAAACACTTCTGGCTTTCAAGTGATTTTGTAGTAAACGACCTGGGGCCCGGTTGTTCACCCGGTGGACAACCGGGTCCCGGGGAAAGGGTCGGGACTTCCGGGGAGCGCGTATTGAAAACATCAGGACGTCGCATGTCTGGGGCTGGTATCTGAGAAGGTGGCGGGGCTTCTGAGAAACAACACGGGGGGCGTCACGGAAACCCCGCCGGCGTGTACCGTCGGACCTGGGCCAGATGAGCATCTCTCTAGAACGTGAGACCCTCAGCCGGCCCAGGCTGAAGAGCGTTCGAGGGTGCCCTCCCCAGGAGGCTCAAGAGCATCCAACAAACACGCAGAACACTAGGGTACCCTCCCCGAACCGACCTCGATCTTATACCTCGGTCCGACTGAAAGATGGACGATTGGAAGCCACCAGAACTCCTGAGAAGCGCTTCCGCGCTCTGATCGGGGAGACGTGAGACTCTGGTGCGTGAGACTTGGGTGGGCCTGACGGTGCCGTCAGGAAAATGACGAGACCAAAATCTGAACTTTGCCGCAGACTCGCGCGGCAAACCCAGACATGCGAAGTCATGGGTCTTGTGAATCTTGGGCTGACAGCCTGGGGGATAGGCTCTCGCTGCTGAGCCTTCCAGATGGCTCCCGAGAGGCCCCAAAGAGAAGTCCCGACCCTTTCCCCGGGACCCAGTTGTTCACCCTGAGTCGTTTTTTACAGGTCCCGGGGCCCTGCCATGGCCCCTGGAGGCCGAAAATGGCCAGAACCCCCCCGCCGTGATCTTTTCGCGACGCGATCCTGTCTGGGGCCCCCTCTTCACGCCACCTCCTCGTGGGCGCCTCGGAGGGCTGGGAAGAGCAGGCAAAGGCCCTCGGTGGCGGCGCGTGCCCGCCGGACAGGCACGAGGCACGAGGCCAAAAAGCCTACCGTCGTGTCTGTTTTCACGACGACGCGTGCATGTCTGGAAGCATCCCACGAGCACTGGGCCGTCAAGAGTCAGGACAGGCCCATCACAAACGTCGCCAAGCCCGAACTCCAGCGTGCTCGAAGTCTTAGGTTTCCCCTGGTTTCAGTACACCGCCTCCCGCTCGCGCCGTCCCTGGATGGGCGCCACCAAATCCTGACCCCGTGTTGATGGGCCAGATTTCCAACACCACCGCTATAGGATTGGGGAGAAGAGATGGTGGGGAGGTCCTCCTTCTCCTCCTTCTCCTCCTCCTTCTCCCCCTCCTCCCTTCCCTCCTCCCCTTCCTCCTCCTTTTCCTGACTCCTGCTCCTGCTCCTGCTCCTCCTCATTATCCTCCTCCCTCTCCTGCCTATGGTAGTTGTGGTGGGAAATCGGCCCATCATGCTCATCCAACCAAGATCAATCAAAATCGGTCGGGCAACTTGGCCGGATCGGAATGATAATCGAAACGGGCCGCCTTGGCATGGAGTCGGCATTGAATCACATCGGCAACGCCAAGAGGCACAACAGCGCGGTGCAAACATCTGGGGGAACCCGGAAAATGCCGATACCGCTACTCCCCAGACCTCTCCCGGGGGTGCGTTCTGACCAGAAATTCGAGGCGAATCCAGCGGTGGCGAAGACAGCCTCCCAGGAAGCCCCAAGAAAGGTAAAACGGGCAAAGGGTAGCGGCATGGGTGCCTTCTCGGCTACACGCAAGGGTGACCCTGGGTGAGAGCGACCTTTGGTGCGCGGCTTTTGGGGGGGGGCGCGGGAGGGACCGAACACAAGCGCGCAAGGCGCTACTATCACATCGCAATTCGACGATCGGGGGAACCCCACGGGCCCGCACAAAAGGCCACTCCGGCGAAGGGTCACTCCCACGCGTAACCGACCGTCTTCCTCCTCGGAGCTCCAGGCAGCATCGGACCGTCGGGACCTCTGAATCGAAGGGGGTCGGGCCGACCAACATCGATGCCGCAGCGGAGCGCTCGAGAATCGAACTCGGCCCTGCCCAGGGCCGCGCGTCGCACGGCCCGGCGCCCCTCCCCGCCGCGCCCTTCGTGGGCCGCAGCGCTGTGGCGTTTTCTGGCGCCCCGCACCCCGAGGAGGGGGAGGGGGAGGAGCAGGAGGAAGAAGAGGAGGGGGAGGAGGAGCAGGAGGAGGGGGAGGAGGACGGGGAGGAGGACGGGGAGGAGGAGGAGGAGGAGGAGGAGGAGGAGGAGGAGGAGGATGAGGAGGAGGGGGAGGACGAGGATGGAGGAGGAGCAAGGGGATGGGGAGGAGGAACCCCCCGGCCGAGGGTGCGCTGCCACTCGCCGTCTGACAGGGGATGTGTCGATCCATGTCCCAGACTTTCAGAGAGGAGGACGAGGTACACTTTTTTACCATCCAGCGGAGCCCTGTGGCAGAGAGGCAGGAGGGGGAGGGAGGGAGGGAGCGGGGGGGGGGGGGGAAAGCCAGGCGCGCGAGTCGCAGCCCGGCCGCGTGCACCTAATTAGTCTGGCGCCCTCAGGCGGGCCTCCCGGCGAGCCTGGAGGGCGCCCCGCCAAGCCGCCTCCGCGCCGCCCGCGCGCGCTGCTGGGAGCAGAAGGAAGAGGTACACATGCCTCTACCGCTGGTTGGCCCAAAATGGGGTCCAGTCCATCCGAAAGGGGATGGTGCAACAGGTTTGGGGCAATTGTATTGCAAAGGCACTGCGCCGGAGACATGTACTACATTGTATTGCATCTAACGTGTTGCGCGCGGGAATCCAGCAATACATTCGTGCACCCGAATGTATTGCACGTCCAAAATCTATGGCACCCCAACGAATCTATTGCATCAAATCTATTGCACCACCCCCTTTCAGCTGGACCCCATTTTGGATCAACCAGACTACCCCTTCCTTCCCCCTTTTCCCCTTTTCGAGTCTCCTCGGAGGCCCTCGTCGCCAGCGCTGGACTCGCCTCGAAATCCTGGTCAGAACGCGCCCCGTGAGAGGTCCAGGGAGTAGCGGTATCGGTACCTTTTGGTGCCCCCACACTGCGTGGGGTCTCCGATGGGACAAACAATTCGGGGCCCAACCCTGAGATATACAATCAAAAGGTGAAGTGAGGACGGGTGGCAAAGACGCAAGAGCCTTGGAAACTGGAGTTGAGATCTTTAGGGCGGCGGCCGACTGGTGAAAACGGCAAAAGACGGGCCGCAGAGGCAAGGACACAAGGCTACTCTAGATGAAGGCGTGCGTCCTAACTGTGCGCGTTGACTCTACGGAGGGGGGGTCAATCCTCGATAGAGGTGCGTCCGCATAGCCCCGCGGGGGTGTATCCCAGCGTTTCCGCTTCTTTCGGAGAGGCCACGCATCTCGTGCGGAACTCGGTGACCGGGGAAGAAGAATCGCCTGCGACCGCTGGTTGGCACACTCGCCTTTTGGCACGCGGCGCCCGAGATCGGGTGAAACAGCTACATCTTCGGGGATCTTGTCTGTCCCGTCTCACCGCGATCCGCGTCGACTCGGTGTCGCATCCGTGTTGAGCGCGCCCGACTCCGCGTCGCCTCCGCGCCGTGTATCCACACCGACTGCACGGCGAGCCTGCGCTGTGAACGCGTCGGATACCAGAAGACTCCGCAGTTCACAGGGCAGACGAGGTGCCCCGAAGCTGCAACGTACAATGTGAGCTCGACAACAAAGAACCTTCCACCAGAAACCCAACCCTAAGACCCCAGGACGTCCATTGCTCTTTGGTGTGGGAACGTTGCGCTTGTTCCGTAGCAGAACCCAACAAACCCAGGGCACCCTGGAGGCAAGCAGGGTGTTTCTTGGCATGGGTTCCCACTGTACAGGAAGCAGCTCCTCGGAGGCCTTCGTGAGAACGGTGAAGGGCGAGTCAAACCGATCAAGGCGCCAGCAAGCCCGATCGGCACAGATTCAGCCAGAAAAGTACAGTCGGGGCGTTGACCTAAGGAACCCTAAATAAGGAACGAGGCCTCTTTTATCCACAAGTTAACCTTCGATTTCCAATCGAAAACCAAAGGAAAACCTTAGGCAAGCTGTGAAACACTGAAGGAACGCGGAGCCCCTCCCCAACAAAAAAGGGTTCCTTGTTCAGGGCCCCGTTACGTGTTCCGTAAGTTTTTCACAGCTTGCCTCAGGCTTTCCTTATGTTTTCGATGGGGAATCGAAGATTAACTTATGGGAAAAAGGGGCCTCGCTCCTTATTTAGGGTTTCTTAGGTCAACGCCCCGACGGTAGGCGGGATGAGGCCTTTTCGACCACTGATGTGCCAGCGCCGATGCTGGTTCTCTTACCGCCCGGAAGCCAAATCCCAACGAAGTGCAGCCCCGATCACCTGCGTCGCAAAGGGCTGGCGGGGACGCCTGCCTCCACGTCGTGGCGTTCGCAACCCCAGCGGAGTCCAAAGAAGCAAGGAACCAAGACGAAGGGACCAAGAAACCAGAAGCAAGAAACCAGGAATCCAAGACCAAATACCCACGGAACCAAGACCAAGGAAACAAGACCAAGATACCAAGGACCCAAGCACAAGAAACTCATGATGCATGATCCTGCCGCCGGGACCAAGGAACCAATAGACCAAAACCGAAGAACCGAGACCACAAAGATCGAACACAGAAGGGGCGTGGACCTAAGGAACCCTAAATAAGGAACGAGGCCCCTTTTTTCCACAAGTTAAATTTCGATTTCCCATCGAAAACCAAAGGAAAACCCAAAGCAAACCAAGGGACACCGAGCCCCTCCCCAACGAAAAGGGTTCCTTCTTCAGGGCCCCGACTGTAGCCAAGACGAAAGAAAGAACACCAAAAGACCAAGGCACCGAGGAACCCAGGCAACACAGACCATTCGGAACCCCGCAGAACACCCCCCTGGCAAGGCAACAAAGCCCCAAACAAACCCAGGGAGCCCCAGCGCGAGTGCGTCTGGCACCCTCCTGTTTCTAGGGGGTAAACAAACCTACCTCGCTCTTGACCACCCTCGCTTCCAAGAGATACTAAGCGATGCCAAACTACGGCCTGTACTGGTCAGGCCGCTTGACGAGGAGGCGCGTGGTGTGACTTGGTTTTGCCTGGAAGCGAAAGCGGGGTAGGTAATTCACGCTCTGATCAGTACCTTCTTGGTGCTCGAAATTATTTCTGCTGATCTAGGCTAAAGTAGGTTGGGACATCATAGCTCTGAGGCAGCAAAGCCGACTTGTGGAGCACCTGGTCGCCCCCCCCTCCCCCCCCCCCGGAACGCATGCCTGCCGTGATTATCGCCTCCCCAAACATGCGACGTCTGGACGTTTCGACACGCGGTCCGTGGAAGCCCAGACCCGGTCTCCTGGGCCTGGATTTCTGGCCCGAACGTCGTGCTCTGACGGCCCCGCGGCCCCGCGAGGGCTCCCAGAAGCCGAACACTGCCAAGGGCCTTCCGTCGCGACTTCATCACAACGCGAGCATGACGGGGCTTTTTGCGTCCAGGAGAACCACGAGACCGAAAGCCATGTACCGTACCATGCTTGGACACCATTGAAGCCCCGATCCAACGCGGCACGGAACACGTACAGTCGGGGCGTTGACCTAAGGAACCCTAAATAAGGAGCGAGGCCCCTTTTTCCCATAAGTTGATCTTCGATTCCCCATCGAAAACATGAGGAAAGCCTGAGGCAAGCTGTGAAACACGTACGGAACGCGGAGCCCTTCCCCAACCAAAAGGGTTCCTTCTTCAGGGCCCCGACTGTATCGGCGGCGAGCCCAGGCAGGCAGTGAGAAGGGGCGGGCCTTCTCAGAAGGCTCGGAAGCTCCCCGGCCTTCCGAGAAGCGTTCCAAGCCTTCCTCGAAAAGACAACGAACACTTCTCGAAGGCGCGAGGGCGTCTGAGGTGTCCCGCCGCCTTCTGAGAGGGCCTTCTCCTTCTCGTTCCTCCTCCTCCTCCACTCATTCCCCCCCTCGCTCGCCGCCGAATATATATATATTATATATATATATATATTATATACATATATATATATCTATATCTATATATATATATATCTATATATATATATGTATCGTGCCTCGGCTATGCGGGCCTCGATGCCATATGCACCGTACCCGCCCCTGGTCGAGGCCCGACGCTGCTTGCGGAGGAGACGCCCGCGCGGTGCCTTCGGGCTGCCGCGGTGCCCAGGGGAGCGTCCTGGCATGCACGGGACGCACAAGGGTCTACTAGTACTATGTGTCCTCCTCGGAGGCGCGCGTCCGACCCGAACGTATAGTCCACCCAGCTTGTAGTACATCGTTTCCCGAGCGGTGTGGCCAGAAAGCGAGCGCCACGACGCGTATACTTCAACATTTCTCGGTGCGCGCGTCGCCCCTGGGAGGGCGACGCACACATAGTATTATGAAGGGGAAATGAGACACACAAATAAATAGACACACATTAAAAAAAACATATTTTCTCATATTCTCTGGGTTTTTGTCTTCCCCACCACTTCCCATATTTTCCCATATTTTCCAGGAAACCGAAGATCAATTGTGTCTGTGTGCTTCTTTCCCTCTTGATATTAGTATGTTGAAATATAGCGCCGAATGCGCCTTCGGGCGCCTCGGGGAAGCGCCCTTGGTGGCACCGACAGGTACCGATACCGCTGCTCCCAAGACTTCTCCTGGGATGCGTTTGGATCAGAACTTCGAGGCGAATCCAGCGGTGGCGACGAGGGCCGCCCAGGAGCGCCAAAAAGGGGAGAACGAGAGAAGGCTAGAGGCATGGGTACCTTTTGCTCCTCCGAGTCCTGCACCTTCGGGCGCCTCGGGGAAGCGTCGTGGACAGTACCCTTCGGGCGCCTCGGGCAAGCGTCCTGGCAGGTACCTTCGGGCTGCCCAAAGGGCATCGGTTCGGGCAAGGCACGGTGCGCGCAGGTCGTCCGCGAAAAGCGTCCACCTGGGAAAACCGACAACTACCGATACCACGACTCCTCGTTCTCCTGGGGTACGTTCTGACCCGGATTTCGAGGCGAATCCAAGCGTGGCGGCGAGGGCCTCCCAGGAGGCCCAATGGATGGGTGAGGCGACGGAAGGGTAGCCCTACCCGGATGAAGTAGAGTTGGTTCGGGCCCGCCCAAGAGAATAACAAACAATACGCCAAGCACACGTAGATCCTTAAAGGTCACTCTGACGCCTCCCGTCCCCCCCTCTCGATGATCCTCAGGACGTGCGTTAGCGTGTTAGCCCACGCGTTCCTTTACCCTATTCGGGTCCGCCGGCAGCGCGCAACTGGTGTCGGCACTCCTTGCGCGGCCTACGTCACGTTGAAAGGCCTCGGTGGACAACCACACGTCGGCGCCAGCACACGTTCTGAGGATCATCGACCACCTTCTCCCGCGGCCCCCGCGCGGGTCGGGCCAGGCCAAGGCGGGCCAGGGCGCGCGCGCTGTCCTGATGATGCGGCTGGCGCACAGCGAGGCTTTCTTCTTGATGTAGGGGTCCGTGCAGCTCATCATGTTCTCCACCTGATGCAGTCAAGTCGTAGAATTAGGACGAACGACGTAAAGCCATGCCGACACTCTGCGAGCGGGGCGCGGCCGGTGAAAGCGGTCAAAGATGGGCCGAATGGGGAGGATGAACGGGCAACCTTGGAAATTTGCCAATGCTTACTACGCGGCACGACTGTACCACTATCCATCCCTCGTTTTCCCCGTGTTGGGCCTCCTGGGAGACCCACGTCGTCACCGCTGGACTCGCCTCACAATTCTGGTCAGAACACATCCTGGGAGAGGTCTGGGGAGTGGCGGCATCGGTACCGCGTTCGTTTCCCCATGAGCGAGGGAAAAACGGGGCTTGCGCGAGCAAGGAAAAGACCGCGGAGGAGGAGGAGGATGAGCGGCATAGCCGCTCGTGGGAACGATGCTCATGGGAACGATTGCGCCTCCAACGATGCCCATTGCTACGATGCTCATGGGGACGACTGCGCCTCCAAAGGCGCCACAGCGACCTTACGCGGTGGCCTGTGCGGGCTGCCAGCGCGGCACACCGCGTGGAGAAGAGGGCGCTTGAGCGTGACCTTACGCGGGCAGCTTACGCTCAAATGTCAGTAGACTCGAATCCTTCGTTCTGCGTCGCTCACCCGGACGCAAACGCCTGCTGCTGGGCTGAAGTTTTGGCACGGCCATCCCGGATCCAGGCGGAGGAGGAGGAGGAGGAGGAGGAGGAGGAGGAGGAGGAGGAGGAGGAGGAGGAGGAGGAGGAGGAGGAGGAGAGGGAGGAGGAGGAGAAGCGATGAGGAGGATGGAGGAGAAGCGATGAGGAGGATGGAGGAGGAGGAGGAGGCGGAGGAGGCGGAGGAGGAGGAGGATGAGAAGGAGGAGGAGGGTATGAGGAGGAGGAGGAGGAGGCGGAGGAAGAGGACGGATGAGGATGCAGGAGCATGGAAGAGCATGGAGGAGGATGGAGGAGGATGGAGGATCGATCGATCGAGCCTTGGGGCCGAGTTCGGGGCGACGCCTACTGGAGCAGCGCTGTGAGGCCCCTGAACTGCTCAGCCTGGCTGTGGTCACTTTGGACTGGGGGAGCTGTCAAAGGGACGCTCGGGCCCTTCCCGCACCGTCTCTCCCCACGCAGGGGGCTTGCGGGCGGGGTTGCGCCCGCCCTCACGGACGCTCCCTCGCCTGCTGCCCTCTGCCTTTGCCCTGGGTCCGCCCCCCTCTCGATTTTCCCTTGGGGGGCGGGAGGATGGAGGAGGAGGAGGAGGAGGAGGAGGAGGAGGAGGAGGAGGAGGAGGAGGAGGAGGAGGAGGATGAGGCGGCGGAGGAGGAGGAGGAAGAGGAGGAGGAGGAGGAGGAGGGGGGAGCACGAGGAGGAGCACGAGGAATGAGGAAAAGAAGAAAGAAAAGGAGAGGAGGAGGATGAGGAGGAGGAGGAGGAGAAGGAGGAGGAGGAAAGGAGGCCACCTCGCGCGACAGGGCGCGGCACATCTCGCCGTTGGCGATGTTCCCCATCGCGCACAGGGCGAGCCCGTTCACGTACGGGTTCTGCACGGGGCGGAGGAGGGGGGAGCTTCTCCTCCCTCCTCGTCCCTCCTCCTCTCTCCTCCGCCCCCCTCCCTCCATCCTCCCTGGAAAGAGGGGAGAGGGGGCGAGGAGGGGGCAAGGGGATGGCGAGGGAGGAGGTGGGGATGGGGAGCGAGGGGGTTGGTGGGCGGGAGGCAGCAGGGGGAGGGAGAGAGAAGGTGAGCGAATAGAGGGGAACGGGGGGGGTGGGATCGGGGGGGGAATGGGGACAGGCGAAAAGGGAGACGGGTTGGGGAGGAGGGAAAAGGAACGATAGGGGTTGAGGGAGGGCTGAGCCGGAGGGGAATGGGGCGGGGGGAGGCGAAACCAGAGGGAAGGGGGACGGGGAGGGGAGATGGGGACAGGCGAAGAAGAGACGGGAGGGTAAGAACGGGAGGAAGGGGGCGGGGGGCGAGGAGGGTTGGCAGAGAGAGGGGGAAGAGCCTGAGGGGGGGGAATGGGGAGGCGGGGGAGGGGATAACAAGGGGGGAAGGCGGAGGGGTAAAAGGATATATGGGGAGGTCCAGGGCGCATGCGAGCGGGGGAAGGGAATGACGAGAAAGGGCGTTCAGGGTAGGGCTCGAGCTAAACAGCGACATTCGTTTTCTGTTGCGTTCGTTTTCCTTCGTTCTGTCTTCGTTCGGCCAATGCTGCGAAACGAAATCAAAACGAAAACGGTCCACGCAATCCCTCAAACAAAGTTAAGCTGGAACCCTGGTGCAAGGGGGCAGGGAAACGGGAGGCGGGGGGCAGTGGTCACGTTTGAGCCAATGCCTAGAACACAACAGGGAAAGCATACCTGCTGGAGAATGCGACATGCTGAATCTTCCCGGTGTGCTCCTCATCCCCTTGCTATTCCCTCTGTTGTTGGCGATCGTCGCGACCATTGTCTCGTCGTCGCCTCATCCTGCTCCTGCTTCTGTTCCTGCTCTGTTCTACTGCATGCTTCTCTGCCTTCCCCTCCTCAGTCACCTCCCCCAGCCACCATCCGCCGCCTCCTCCTCCGCCGCCGCCTCACCCTCCTTCCCTGCAGCTCAAGAAATCAGCTCCTCGAAATGAGTACTCCTGCCACTTTACATCCTCTTCCTCCTCCCCCTCGCCTCACTGCTCTCCTCGGTTTAGACGTCAAAGTTATCGTAGACGCCTTACTTCTCCAAGCTACCCCCCTCTTTTGTTCTCATTTGCTACGCCTCGCGCCGTTCCTGCTCATACGCAGGCTTTACACGTACATGAGTTGTAAGTCATCGTGCTCCTGTTCCTCATCACTCTGTCACGTATCATCACAGTTCTTCTCCGCATCCTCCCTTATCTTCCTCCAATGCGTCATCCTACCACCCCCTTCCCCTGCCAGTGACGCACACCACTGGACATGCTGTTGCACATTGACTCCTCTCTTCCTACTCCTGCACGCCCCTCGTTACTGGATGCTGTCACTGCGCTCGCGGCTTGCCAGCAACCCAACGCGGGCCGCTCCCTCTGCCGATCAAGACCTACACAGACGGCGCATCTCTGTTTGAGCATGGACACTGCTGTTTTGGAGCGATACTGTGAATAGACGAGCGCGTTCCACGACTCGCAGAGTAACTACTCGCGAATGGCCTGGTTCCGCCGCGGGGGATCGACGATACATTTCGTCGAACCAAACACGTGGTCTTCGGACGCTTGCGAGTAGGCACTTTGCGAATTGCGGAACGCGCTCGTTGACGGAAAGACGTGGCAAGACCGGGATGGGGCACGCACTTGCATACGGAACATGGACATGCCGTTCGCACCTCAGCGCCGCGCAACCCGTCGACGTCACGATACCGCTGGTGCGCGGCGCGTGTGCTTTGCCCGTCGAGTCTTGATCGGCGGGGCCGCGCCGAAGAGACAGAGACGAGTCAAGGGGCCCAAGGACACACAACTAAATGCACACACATAACAGGATTGCAATGTGTTTCCTACATTGTCTAGTTCTTGTCTTCCCCCCCCACTTCCCATAGTTTCCCATGTTTTTAAAGGGATCGAAGATCAATTGTGTCTGTGTGTTTTCCCCTCCTGAAATGAGGAGAGAGAGAGAGAGAGAGAGAAAGAGAGGGAGAGAGAGAGAGAGAGAAAGAGGCAAAAAGTGGGAAGGAACGAGAGATCGGCGGCGAGCTCGGGGGGGGGGAAAGAGAAAGAGAAGGCCGTCTCAGCAGGCTCGGAAGCCCGCCCCGCCTTCTGAGAAGGTCTCCGAGCATTCCCCTGAAAACAGACAACACGACGTCTCAGGAGGCACGAGGGCCTCGGAGAAGTGCCGCCGCCTTCTGAGAAAACCTCATCCTTCTCGCTTCCCCTCCTCGCCCGCCGCCGAAAAGAGAGAGGGAACAGACAACGAGTCGAGCGCGTTCCACGACTCGCAACGTAACTACTCGCAGATGGCCTGGATCCGCCGCGGGGGATCGACGACGAATCTCATCGGAGCAGACAGCAGTTCGTCGGACGTTTGCGAGCAGGCACTTTGCGAGCAGTGGAACGCGCTCGGTGCACGAGAGCAGCACGGACACTCCGAGGCCCGCGCGGGTGTTCCGCGAACGTCGGCGCCGGGCCGCCGTCCCTGGCCCAGGGCGCGCGCTTCTGAAGGGGCCCCAGGACACACAAATGAATCCACACAAATAAAAATGTTCCCCATATTTTCCCATATTTTCTGGGTTTTTGTCTTCCCCCCCAATTCCCATATTTTCCATATTTTCTGCGGAATCGACGATTAATTGTGTCTGTGTGTTTTTTCCCCTCCTGAGCTTCGCGCGCCCTGGGGCGGCGCAGGAAGCGCCGCCGGGGGGGCCCGAGCACCGATCCGACGAATCCGCGCGGACCTCCGAGTTGCTATGTTTGTGTCGTTGGCTTCCTGAAGAAAGAGAGAGAGAGAGGAAAAAGAGAGAGAGAGAGAGAAAGAGAGAGAGAGAGAGGAAAGAGAGAGAGAGGGGGGGAGAGACACACAACACACACACAAACATGGAATTCCGCATACGGAAACTAATACAGAGTTGTTCTCGCTCGAGCTCCGCGCAATTGCTCTCTGGAAGTTGGCCACTCGCTCGAACGAGGCGCATGCGTGATGCTCGCCAGGGGGAGCAACACGTCATCGATCAGCACGTAAAAGCTCTTGAACCCTTGGAGACGGGCCGAAGCTCAGAATCCAAACCACTAGGGGCATGGGGTCTCCTGAGCAGATGTACCAAACCAAACCCCCAGGCGGACTCTCCCCCATGGAAAAACACGGGAGCCCAAGTCGTGCTACGCCTGCACTGCGCCCCTCGGGCCAGGGGCTCCTTTCACTCTCGATCAGCGCTGTTGCCTCAGGGCCGAGTGCGCCGACTCTCCCACGGCGCTTCCGCCTGGGCGAGGCGCGCTCGCTCCGCTGCCGCATCGCCGGAGGCTGGGACGCGCGCGGGGGAACGACATTGCCGCTCTCGAGGAAGGGCCGGGCAGCGTGCTCCCCGAGGGTTCGCTGCCGCTCTGGTTAGGGGGACGCAAGACCTGGGTACAGGGGACTCGGAAATCCCCGACGAGGTCGTCAAAAAAATGACGAGGCCGAGCATGCACTTTGACGAGGCCTCCCGCTGCAGACACCCCACGAAACTCCTCCTCGCCAAAATCCGAGGCGCGGTCGTCGAAAAACGATGGCGAACCCGAGTCCTGGCAAACCCGGGTTTTACGCTCCCCCGACCCGAGGGTTCGCTGCCGCTCTGGGTCGGCGCGTGATGTCTCCCTCGCGGGGCCGCCGGCACTGGGGCCGCACGCGGGCGGCCCCCCTCGCGGCCCGCCGGGGGGGGCAGGCGGCACGCCGGCCCCGGTGTGCATGTGCTCTCGCGGACGGCCACGCGCTGTGTGCATCCTGGCTCGCACTTCTACTCCGACCTCCACTTCCTTACAGTGAGGGTCTTGATCTAAGGAACCCAAAGTAAGGAACGAGGCCCCTGTTTTCCATAAGTTGAACTTCGATTTCCCTTCGGAAACCAAAGGAAAATCCAAGGCAAGCTGCGAAACAACTAAGGAACGCGGAGCCCCTCCCAACGAAAAGGGTTCCTTCTTCAGGGCCCCGACTGTAACCAGAAATCCTCAGGAGTCCGCGCGGATGTCTTGGATCCGCGCGGGGGCAACCAACGCAGGCCCAAGAGATCCGTGCGGAGCTCCTAGATTCTGAGTTGTGACGCTTGTTGCTCGATTCCGAACTCGCACGGCAGATCCGTGTCTTGCCGACTTCGGCCTTGGTTCCCGACGCCGCGGGGATCATTCAACCTTGAATGATCGGCCGTTTCCGAAATGCCAGATCGTTCAATGACTACCTACCAGACCACCCCAACCCAACCCGAAGACCCGAATTTCGGGTTGGGGGGGGTAAGGGTTCCACATGTGTTTTTTCGATGTATCCCGACCCCCCCCCCACTGGAAATCGAGGGTAAATCAGAGCCTTCGGGTTGGGTTGAGGTGGTTTGGTGGGTGGTGAAGATCGTTCAACATCGACCGATTCTGGGTCGCCGCCAGCGTTCCACGTTGAACGCCCACGGAAGGGTCGCCGCCGGCCGACGCGGTGCGGACCCACCGCGTAGCCGCACGGCCACACACAACACATCTGAGGCTGGTGCTGATACTCCATCCCTCGCCCTCCACCAAGGATCGACCAAAAAAACCTGAGCTAGGAGGGCCAGGAACATCAGGGATAGGGGGTCTTCTCTGCAGGTGCATCGGACCGAACCGCCCAGAAGTACGATTCCTGATGCGAGGACGGGGACCTCAGTGAGGCTACGTCTTCATCGTGTTATCAAGGTCAGGGGTTCTTCCACCCTCCATGACCATGAACCACCTCCTCCTCCTACTCCTCCTCCTCCTCCTTCTCCTCCTCCTCCTCCTCCTCCTCCTCCTCGGGCGTGTCCCGCTCTGGCTGCCACTGCTCGTCCTGCCGCTGCCGTGCTGCTGGCCCGCCACCATGCCCGGAGGCACGGGCTGGGGGTGCCGTCGGGCTGAGTGGGCCCTGGAAACGGCAGGGCCGTTTTTTCACCGTTTCCAAAAAAAAAGCGTCTCTTGAGAATGGAAGCGGCAAACAAAGGCGACCAAAAACAGCAAAAAAACGGCCCCGAGATTGGAACTGGAGCCAAAACCGGTGAACAAAAAGGCGACGGAACAGGAAACAAAAACTGCGTCGGAACCCGCAACAAAAACGGCAAAACGGAACCGGCAAAATAACGGCCCCGTCGTTTCCAAAGCCCACTGAGCCGTCGGGTCCTTTGGAGTTCTCCGCCCTCCGTTTTCGGAGTGACTGTGAATGGAGGCGCCCAGGGCTCCAAAGTCCCGGAGCGGCCGGGCCGGCAGGCCTGGGAGAAGCCTCCCAGAAGTTCCAGGAGGTCCCCAAGAGGTTCAGAATTAGACCCCAGGGAGCACCCAAGGGGCCCCGAAGGCACCCCAAAACCGCCTGCAAGATGCTCCCGAGAGGCATCTGAGAAGCCTCTGGCCTACAACCGAAGCGCGGTGGCGGGATGGGCTGGAAGCACTAGATCCGCCGCCCCCTGTCGATTCATCGCAGGGGTGCCTGGCGTGCTGAACCCTGTCGGTTTGGGTTTTGGTTCTTTTTCCAAAAGAACTCCCCAGTGGGCTCCGGCGCGTCCCGCCAGGGCCGCGGAAGGCCCGGAAACGAGCTCAACGACCACAAAAAAATCCTCCAAGATGGCTCGAGATGGCCTCCCAGACTGCCAAGATGGCCTCCCAGACGGCTCAGATGTCCCCAAGATGCCGCCAAGACGGCCCAAGATGGCCCCAACATGGTCTAAGACGGCCCAAAAGGCCCGCAAGAGGCCTCCAAGACGGCCCAAGAGGCCTCCAAGAGGTCCTCCAGGAAGGCCCGACGAGGCCAAAATCATTGATTTTCCGTAAGTTTTTGATGGATTTTGGCATTTGCGCCTTTTCGGCTTTCCGACAGCCCGTGACGGCCCCAGGGGCCCCCAAGGTCGCCCCAAGATCGCCCAAGAGGCCTCCAAAATGGCCCCATGACGGCCCACGAGGCCCCCAAGACGGCCCCAAGAGGGCGCCAAGACGGCCCAAGAGGCCTCGAAGACGCCCAAAATGGACTCTAAGACGACCCTGGAGCACCCCAAGAGGGCCCCAAGTCGGCCCAGAAAGGCCCCCGAAACGGCTTCCGACGGCGTCAGACGAGCCAGGAGCTCACCATGGCTCGCAGCTTGCCCAAGACGGCCCAAGAGGCCTCCAAGAGGGCCTCCAGGAAGGCCAGAAAAGGCCCAAAAGAAGATTTTTCTACGGTTTTTCAAGGATTTTGACTTTTGCTTCGTTTCGGCCTTCCGACGGCCCGATACTGCCCAAGAGCTCCCAAATAACGCCCAAGGATCGCCCAAGAGGCCTCCAAGATGGCCCCAGAACGGCCCAAGAGGCGCCCCAGACGGCCCCAAGAGGCCCCCAAGGCGGCCCAAGAGGCCTCCAAGACGCTCAAGATGGCGTCCAAGACGGCCCACGAGCCCTCCAAGACGCCCTCCAAGAAGGCCCGAAAGGGTCAAAATGGCCTCCAGGTGGCCAAGATGACCTTCTAGATGCCCACGTGTTCCCCGAAGGCTTTCCAAACCGATTCGGGGAACACATGGTCCGATAGCTTGGCAGGTCTGGCCTCAACGTTCGGCCACATAGGCGCTTTCACAAAGGCAGGGGGCGGCGGTGATTCTCGATGCCGATGCTGCTGCTGCTGTTCCTTCTCCATCCTCATCATATGTTTCCATCTCCTACTCCTCCTCCTCCTCCTCCTCCTCCACCTCTTCCTTCTCCTTATCCTTCTTATCTTCCCATCCCCCCATGCCCCCTCATCCGGCCCAACGCTTCATCCCCATCCTCCTCAAATATGTGGGCAAGGCATCTCCGCCTGCTGCCTCAATG